CAAGGAGCCCCTGAACCTGTGTTTGTTTGCGGCCACGCCCTGAACCAGGGCCTGGCCTCCCTGTTGAACTGAAGGGGGTTTGTTTGTTGTCATGCCCTGCACTAGGGCCTGATCCCTCTGTGAACTGACTGTGTTGTCCCACCCTGACTGAGGGCCAGGGCCTCCAAATTGACTGTGTTTGTTATTGCCACACCCTGAACCAGGGGCCTGGCCTGTATATAAACTGATGGTATTTGCTTGCTGTCACGCCCTGAACCAGGGGCCCGGACTGGATAGAAACTAACTGTGTTGGTTTGCTGCCACGCCCTGCCTGAAAAATTGACTCTGAATTGCCCGTTGCCATGCCCTGAATCTGGGCTTGGCGTATCTCCAAACAGGGGCTTTGTGGACTCGTGGCCCACCCTGAACCAGGGCTGGGCCTGGATAGATACAGCGGCTTGGTTGCGTGCTGCCCGCCTGAAGGAAGGTCAGGCATGGACTTGTGATGTGGGGGCTTGGCTTAAAGGGACCGTGCAATGGGGCAGAGTGGCCACCCACTGACATGGAGGAGGAGGAACATCTCCGGGAAGTCAAGCTGACTACAGGAACCTGTGCCATTTGTAAAGGTAGGATTTTCTGGTTGATATTCTGTGACTGTTGAGTAAGATTGGTTGAACTTGTGTCGAACATGTTAGCTCTAACAAGGTGAGCCATTGAGGAACCAAGCGTGAAGATGGAGTGACTTGAGGTTGGGATGATGCAGGGTGCCCTTCTCCTGTGTTAGGAAGTGAGGGAGAAATGGAAGATGCCATGATTGTTTCGTAGACATTTGAGTACGGTAGGTGTACCACATCTGTCTCGACCAGTCCAAGGCAATAAGAATCACCGTAGGTAATTCCAGTCTTATTTTGTTAACCACCCATCCCCCGCGGTGCATGAGGGGGATGGGTGGGTAGGCATATAAGAGTGTTGTGTTCCATCATATTGCAAACATGTCCCCCCCAGGGGGAGTGCCTGCCAATGCCCACACGTGAACAGTAACGTGGACACTTCTTGTTGGCATTAGTTGCAATCACGTCCAGGTCGGGAAACCCCCAGCATGTGAGAGGTGATCATAGAATCATAGGACTGGAAGGGACCTCAAGAGGTCATCGAGTCCAGCCCCCCGCCCTCAAGGCAGGACCAAGCTCCGTCTACACCATCCCTGACAGATGTCTATCTAACCTGTTCTTAAATATCTCCAGAGAGGGAGATTCCACCACCTCCCTGGGCAATTTATTCCAATATTTGACCACCCTGACAGTTAGGAATTTTTTCCTAATGTCTAATCTAAACCTCCCCTGCTGCACTTTAAGCCCATTACTCCTTGTCCTGTCCTCAGAAACCAAGAGGAACAAATTTTCTCCTTCCTCCTTGTGACACCCTTTTAGATATTTGAAAACCGCTATCATGTCCCCCCTTAATCTTCTTTTTTCCAAACTAAACAAGCCCAGTTCATGAATCCTGGCTTCATAGGTCATGTTCTCTAGACCTTTAATCATTCTTGTCGCTCTTCTCTCTACCCTTTCCAATTTCTCCATCTTTCTTGAAATGTGGCGCCCAGAACTGGACACAGTACTCCAGCTGAGGCCTAACTAGTGCAGAGTAGAGCGGCAGAATGACTTCACGAGTTTTGCTTACAACACACCTGTTGATACAACCTAGAATCATATTTGCTTTTTTTTGCAACAGCATCACACTGTTGACTCATATTCAACTTGTGGTCCACTATTACCCCTAGATCCCTTTCCGCCATGCTCCTTCCTAGACAGTCGCTTCCCATCTTGTATGTATGGAACTGATTGTTCCTTCCTAAGTGGAGCACTTTGCATTTCTCTTTATTAAACCTCATCCTGTTTACCTCTGACCATTTCTCTAACTTGCTAAGGTCATTTTGAATTATGTCCCTATCCTCCAAAGAAGTTGCAACCCCACCCAGTTTGGTATCATCTGCAAACTTAATAAGCGTACTCTCTATCCCAATATCTACATCATTGATGAAGATGTTGAACAGTACGGGTCCCAAAACAGACCCTTGAGGAACTCCACTTGTTATCCCTTTCCAGCAGGATTTAGCACCGTTAACAACAACTCTCTGACTACGGTTATCCAGCCAATTATGCACCCACCTTATCGTGGCCCTATCTAAGTTATATTTGCCTAGTTTATCAATAAGAATATCATGCGAGACCGTATCAAATGCCTTACTGAAGTCTAGGTATATGACATCCACCGCTTCTCCCTTATCCACAAGGCTCATTATCCTATCAAAGAAAGCTATCAGATTAGTTTGGCATGACTTGTTCTTCACAAACCCATGCTGGCTATTCCCTATCACTTTATTACCTTCCAAGTGTTTTTCCATCTTTCCTTTTTCAAGCTTTTATAATATCAATGGATCCAGTTCCCATTTGTGCTCGGATTTGAAGTTTCTGCTGAGTCTGTTGGCCATTAGATTGTCTCTGCCCGGGAGGTATGAGGCCTGTCATACACTATGCACCATGTCCAGAAGCGGACAGCTTCTCTGCATAACAGGAAAGATCCTTGCCTGTTTATGTAAAAAGTTGTTGCCTGATTGTACAGTTCAGATTTTCACGGACAATTTTTATTTGATGTACGAAGTGTTGACACGTGTAGAATACTGCCCTGAGCTCCAGAACGTTTATGTGGAAGCTGGATTCTGGTCCGACCATTGACCTTGGGTAGTGAGGCAGCCCTCCTTAGGTGGGGGGCTCATCTAGGCATGCGCGGCACACCAGAGAGCACGGCTATCAACTATCTCTGACTAGGCGCGCAGCCGCGCCCAAGACACCTAAGGTGGAGCACCCCCAGGGATGCTCCTTGAAGAAATTTTTTTAACGTGTGTCCTCTTTTTGGACAGGACTAAGTCAGACTTCTCCCTAGAGCAAGATTTCTTTATGAAATCTCCAGAGAAGAAAAAAAGTAGTCAGAGTGTCCACGTGGAGTACACTGTTCCCTTGTGGTGTAAAGCAAGAGTTAAGAAAACAAATGAGCCTTTGTGAAAAGCTGCGTTTGAAAAAGGAAAGATGGAAAAAGATAATTTAAAGCTATGCAAAAGGGGGAAATGTACTCACTCCTCCCAATTCTCATGAGTCTGAAAATGTATGACAGACTTCACTCCCAGTCTGCTGCAAGGTGGAAAAAGGCACTAGGAATACCCATTCAGGCGGTAGGAATATCCATTCACACATGTTTTGGAAGCTTGTTGTAGGTATGAGGGAAGCCAGTCAAACTTCTAGGGCACGGGGCTGGACTTGATGACCTTCTGAGGTCTCTTCCAGCTCTATGGTTCTATGATTCTACTCTGAATTGCCCAGAAGAGACAGGCTGCTGTCTTTGTTGATTCAAGTGAACACACATTTCCTGGAAATCACAGAAGACTTACTTGTAGTGTTCAAGGAACACAGGGGCAGGATGATCTTAATTTGCTCAACATGAATAAATTAGAGGGTATGCTCCTGGGAAATACTGAACACCTGCAACTCAGAGACTCAGGCAATAATTAGTTTCTTCAACAGATTACAAATTGCCCATACATCTTCACTGGGACTTCATTATCTGTCACACTGCCTATTCTTTGCTGAGGAGCCATCCACTATTTTAGGAATGGATTAATTTTTCTGAGGCTAGTAATGTGCAAGGTGACAATACACTGAGGTGTCTCTTAGTGCCCCTATTTTTTATGAAAATCAATCCACTTCAAATAGTTTCTATCTCAGCAAACATTTTTAAGACTTCTTTCCATTTTGACTATGAGAACTCATGTTGAACACTAAGGGAAATACAGGCAAACAGAAAATGTTGGCAAACATCCACTTAAAGCAAATGTGTATGTGTGTAGGTCTTCATCTGACAAGAAAAGTATAGTTTGGACAAAGAAATTAAAATTTGCCCTTTTTTTTCTGTGAAATTGATTAGAAAAATAAACCAATTTCTTTATTAATGAACTGGATGAGGGGATGGATTGCACCCTCAGCAAGTTTGTGGATGACACTAAGCAAGGGGGAGAGGAAGATACACTCGAGGGCAGAGATAGGGTCCAGAGTGACTTAGACAAATTGGAGGATTGGGCCACAAGAAATCTGATGAGGTTCAACAAGGACAAGTGCAGAATCCTGCACTTGGGACGGAAGAATCCCAAGCATAGTTACAAGCTGGGGACCAACCAGTTAAGTAGTAGTTCTGCAGAAAAGGACCTGGGGGTTACAGTGGATGAGAAGCTGGATATGAGTCACCAGTGTGCCCTTGTAGCCAAGAAGGCTAATGGCATATTAGGTTGCATTACGAGGAGCACTGCCAGCAGATCCAAAGATGTCATTATTCCCCTTTATTCGGCTTTCGTGAGGCCAAATCTGGAGTATTGTGTCCAGTTCTGGGCCCCCCATTACAAAAAGGATGTGTACGCATTGGAGAGGGTCCAGCGGAGGGCAGCCAAAATGATTAGGGGGCTGGAGCATATGACTTGTGAGGAGAGGCTGAGAGATTTGGATCTGTTTAGTCTGCAGAAGCGAAGCGTGAGGGAGGATTTGATAGCAGCCTTCAATTTCCTGAAGGGTGGTTCCAAAGAGGATGGAGAGAGGCTGTTCTCAGTAGTGACAGATGGCAGAACAAGGAGCAATAGGCTCAAGTTGTGATGGGAGAAGTCCAGGTTGGATATTAGGAAAAACTATTTCACTAGGAGGGTGGTGAAGCACTGGAATGGGTTACCTAGGGAAGTAGTGGTGTTTCCATCCCTAGAGATTTTTAAGTCCCGGCTTGACAAAGCCCTGGCCGGGTTGATTTAGTTGGGATTGGTCCTGCCTAGATCAGGGGGCTGGACTTGATGACCTTCTGAGGTCTCTTCCAGCTCTATGGTTCTATGATTCAAAGCAGACAAATAATTACATTCTGTTTAAGAAGAGCTGATTTTGAATATTCTCAAGCACTCACAAACACAGACTCAAAAGGAGATCTTTACTTACTTGGTTAGTTTATGGCCTTTCGTTGCTATGAGGAAATCTCTTACAACCTCAGGACTTTGGAATCTGCACGGTGTTTTGGATATGTATTTTAATGTCTGCACAAGGTTGGAAAAAAGCATAGGTTACTCCACTTTATGTTATGAAAAATCTCTTCACACCTTTTGAGAGAAGTCTGAATGGGAAACTAAGTTCTTTAACTTCTTTCAGAAGACGGAATGTGCTGTCATATTTGGCATAGTTATTTGGATTTGCCTTGATTCTCAGAGACCATGTTCATTTCTAATGATAGTGTAAGCAACAGGCAGTACATAAAACAGTCATTATGTGTTGGCAATTATTCCAGCATTTTACAAGGAAACCCCGCTGAAGTTGATTCTTAGAGAAATATAGAAACTCCTATGTTCTTCTAACCCAACTATGAAAGTTCCCTCTGTTGCATTGGAAAAATCACTTAACCTTCCTGTAACTTCACCTATAACATGGGGATATCTACCCATATTTGCAAAGTGCACGGAGGTATATGGGATGAAAGGTTCTTTTTCAGTGCTAAGCATTTAAACACATACAATTAAAAGAATATTCACCTGTAACAAATTTTCATTATCAATTTGAATGAAATGATCATAACTGGAAAATCAAATTGACCAAAATATTTCTCACAACATTAGATATTTAGAATGTTTTTAAAAGCTATAATATGTATAATTCTAACAATACAGAGAGTCTCAAAAGCTTGTTTAAAAAGGCCAGTTGTTGTTAATGTTGGACTGAATAACTACCTTATTCATCCTTGGGACAATGTAAACTTATTTTCTGCCAAGTGTCCAAGAATTCAGTGAGTGTGGAACTAATTACTAGGTCATAAATAGCTAATGTAAGCTCCACAAAGCTGAAACAAAGGCTTCTAGTATTCAGATGTTTTAAGAGTCTTTTAATCAGCGTATTTGGCAGTATTTTCTCAAAGAGCTCACAAGTTATTTATGCAGATTACAATTAAAAACAAACTTTACAAAGATACTATAATAATTCATTCAAATATTTTTAGTGAAAATTCACTTCTTTGTTCTCTTTATCTTTTTCACTAACATATGCTTTTAAAGGACATGTTAGATTTTATTTCTTTGATTAAATGAATGAGAATCCAAGATGACAGATAATACATCTTGCAACTTATCCAAGCCTGTCATCCGAATTAAATGCCAATATGCCTTTTTAAGATGAAGCAACCACATCTGTTTGAAGTATTCAAGATGTGGGCATAACATGGTTTTATAACTATACTCACTTCATACATAATGGTGTTCAGATTTTGCTGGCCAGAGCTCTGTTTGTGTTTTCCACTATCTTTGCGCTGCTGCTTAAGTTCGGTTAATAGCTGGAACACCTAAAACAAAAAAAAGTCTTTTATTACTAAAATACTTTACAAGATTTTTTGAATTAAGCATTTTTTCTACTGCAGTTTTTTAAAAATATGTTATTAAAATATTACCAAATAAAAAAGATTATGTTGCCCGAATTGACTGGGTGATTAAAATGAAGCACATTTTAGTAACAGAAAAAAAATGTATACAAGAAATGAGACAGTAGCTCGTTCTAATTTAGGATTACTGGTCTTGAAGTATTACTTAGAGTCCTACCAAATTCAGGAACCATTTTGGTCAATTTCACTGTTATAGGATTTTAAAAATAATTGAATTTCATTATTTTAGATATTTACATCTGAAATTTCAGTCTATAGTTGTAGGAGTCTGGAGCCAAAAAGGAGTTGTAGGGTGGGTCACAGGATTATTATAAGAGGGGATGCACTACTGCTATCTTTACTTTCTTGCTGCCGCTGCCACAGCCTCTTCAAAAGTGGGCACCCAGCCAACAGCTGCTGTTCTCCAGCACACAAGTAAGGATGGGAATACTCCAACCCCCCTAAATTAACACTGCGCCCCCTTCCCCGGCTACACTTTTAGGGTCAGGATCTGCAATCTGAGAAACAGTGGTCTCCCCTGTGAAGTCTGCACAGTCTAGGGTAAAAACGCACAAAACTTCAGATTTCTCAGGGAAGACCAGATTTCACAGTCTGTGACCCCATTTTTCAAGGCTGTGACATTGGTAGGGTTTTAATTATGTTGAACAAAAAGATGTAAAAATTGTTGGGCCAAACCCTGTTGATATTTTAATGGACTATCACTACTTCTTGAAGCCTTACCCAAAAGCCTCAAAAGAAAAAGTGGTCACCACAAGCGGCCTTGTAAAAATTACTGGTTCATAAAATTATGCAATGAAATACGATTATTACCAGTTCTAAAGCTAATTCTGCCATTACCACAAATGTTGCTATAATACACCCTCAAACAAATGGAGTCTTTATGTACTGAATACAGTATAATTAAAAATAACAAAATTAGGCCTTGAAAGAGGACACTGATTCCACAAAACCTACATACAGATAAATATTCCCCACTGTATGAGGGAAAGTGAATGTACACTTTACTTATTCAAACTCTTTTGTAATATTTTCTCTTTCAGAAGACGATCAGGAAGAAATTGTGCAAAATTCCCCCTTCCTTTATCTTGATCAGTACAGTCCTTACATGACTAGTATCCTAATCATACATGAGATATTTCCTATAATCTTCATAGCATCATAGGATTGTAAGGGTATGTCTAAAACTACATCCCTTTTTCGATACAGGGATGTAAATTAAGACATATTGAAATTGCAAATGAAGCCGGGATTTGAATTTCCTGCGCTTCATTTGCATAATGGCATCCATGGTTTGTTTTTTGTTTTCTTTTTTGAAAAGCTGCTTTTCGGGGAGGGGGGAAACACCTCAATTAAAATGGGGATTTTTTGATAGAAATGCCCCCCGTTTTGAAAGATCCTATAACCCCATTTTTTAGGTTACAGGCTCTTTCAAAATGGGGGCATTTCTGTCGAAAGATCCCCATCTTGACCATGGGGTTGTTTTTTTTCCCGAAAAGCGTTTTTTCAAAAAAAAAAACAAAAAAACCCCACCATGGATGCCATTATGCAAATGAAGCGTGGGAAATACAAATCTCGGCTTCATTTGCAATTTTTGATATGTCTAATTTACATTCCTTTATTGAAAAAGGGATGTAGTTTAGACATATCCTCAGGGATCTCAAGAGGTCATCAAATCCAGTCCCCTGAACTAATGGCAGGAACAAGCAGCATCTAGACCACCCTGACAGATATTCATCTAATCTGCTCTTAAAAATCTTCAATTATGGAGGTTCCACAACATCCCTGATCAATTTATTCTAGTAGTTAACTACCCTGACAGTTAGGAAGTTGTTCCTAATGTTCAACCTAATTTTCCGATGCTGCAATTTAAGACTATTGCTTCTTGTCTTATCAGAGGTTAAGAACAATTTTTCTCCTTCCTCCTTGTAACAAACTTTTAGGTACTTGAAAATTGTTGTGCCCATCTCAGTTCTTTCTTTTCCAGACTAAACAAACCCAGTACTTTTAATCTGCCCTCAAAGCTCATGTTTTCTAGACTTTTAATCATTTTTGTTGCTCTTCTCTGGACTTTCTCCAAGTTGTCCACATCTTTCCTTAAATGTGGCGCCCAAAACTGGACACAATTCTCCAGCTACGGCCTAATCAACACAGAATAGGGAGAAAGAATTACTTCTCATGTCCTGCTTACAACACTCCTGCTAATGCATCCCAGAATAGTGTTCACTTTTTTTTTTTTACAACAGTGTTACACTATTGACTCATGTTTAGCCTGTGGTTCACTGTGACCCCTAGATCCTTTTCTGCAGTACTCCTTCCTAGGCAGTCATTTCCCGATTTGTAAGTGTGCAACTGATTGTTCCTTCCTATGTTGAGTACTTTGCATTTTTCCTTATTAAACTTCATCCTATTTACTTCAGACCATTTCTTCAATCCTATCCTCCAAAGCAGTTGCAATCCCTCTCAGCTTGGTATAATCCACAAACCTTATATGCCTATGCCATTATCTATATCACTTAACAGAACTGATCCCCAAACAGATCACTCTGGAACCCCAGTTATGCCCTTCTTACATGACTATGAACCATTGATAACTACTCTCTGGAAATGGTTATCTTACCAGTTACACTCCCACCTAACAGTAGTCCCATCTATGTTGTACTTCTGAAATGTGTTAATGAAAAAGTCATGCAAGACTATATCAAAAGCCTCATTAAAGTCTAGATATACCACACCTACCACTTCCTCTCTATCTACAAGGCTTATTACCCTGTCAAAGAAAGCTATCAGGTCAGTTTAACACAATTTGTTTTGGACAAATCCATGCTGACTATTACTTATCACTTTATTATCTTCCAGATGTTTGCAAATTGATTGCTGAATGTTTTGCTTCACTATCTTTCCTGGTACAGAAATTAAGGTGACTCATCTGTAGTTCACTGGGTTGTCCTCCCCACCCAACCCTTTTATAGATAGGTACTATATTTGACCTTTTCCAGTCAAGTGGAATCTCTCTCATCTTTTAAAGATAATAGCTAATGGCGCAGATATCTCTTCAGTCAGCTCCTTGAGTATTCTAAGATGCATTTCATCATGCCCTGGTGACTTTAAGACTTCAACTTGTTCTTTCCATATTTTTGCTTCTGAACCCACCCCATTTTCATTGGCATTTTCATGTTAGGTGCCCAATCACTACCAACCTTCTTGGTGAAAACCAAAATGAAGAAGCAATTAAGCACCTGCACCATTTCCACATATTCTGTTATTGTTTTCCCCTCTTCATTGTACATGTCTATAGCACTTTCCACCTAAGGATCTCAAAGCACTGTGTACACATTAACCATATACCATAATACATATCAATTCAATATTGAGACAGGAAAGTGTTGTTTTGCGGACGATGAAAAGGAGGCACAAAAGGAAATCTTTTTTAAATAATCAAGGACGGAACTCAAATCTCCTGATTCACAGTTCTGTGCTTTATTCTGACCATTTTTAGTGCCAAAATATTAGTTTGGCACTGACTGATTTAGACATCCTGGTCAAATTGCAGTACAAAGGAAAGAAGCACCAAATAACAGCCTAAGGAAAACAGGATCCAAGTTTTAGAAGAGTTTGTACACTGAAAACTGTTTAAAATATGTGCTTAAAATGCCTGCCACTGCAGACTGCAAACCTCTTTCTGAAAAGAATTAAAAAGCTCTATGTGCTGAGACAACTATGCTGAAAAAGGGAAATGGTGAATAAGCAGAATCTTCAGTAATTCAATTTTCCACTTCCTTTCACTTTCTCACTTAGCACATATGGGTGTATTTAGCAATAGTGGGGAGATATTGAGGCTAAGATTATGATGTTGCAGAATGAGGGACAGAAAGTGGCTTTAAAGTAAGTTTAGCACATATAATTAAGTGTCCAATCTGCAAAGCACCTCACTGCACCAGGCCATTGTTCTGGGGTGCCAGAAGACTTACACAATGCAAGAATTCTCCTTGCATATGAATGACGGGATTTGTATCCAATTTTACCATAACATCCTTGCATGATTGAAAAGATATACACAGAAGTAATGGAAAGAATTGATTAGGCAAGTGATAATCTCTTCAGTACTTCTTGCATTCTGTTCTACAGTTCTTAAAACGGACATTTAATACTACACCTATATCCTATGAAATAAAGCCATGGCTAGTTTCTATTTCTTAAACAAGAAAATTCCTTTCAAATACTTCCTCAAAGCTCTTTTAATGACTGCCAGGTGGTATACTACACCCTAGTCAAACACTTCAATACTTATCACAAAATTATGACAAAATAGATGTGTAAACCCAAAAGGTCAGCAAGGAAATAATCTGAAAAAGTACAGTTTTTAAAGCCTTTAAAAATAAAATACTAAAATTCTAAAGCTACATGGTTGAATTTACAAATGTCACATTTCTATTTTACCATCACCAAAAAGGTACTTTCACTCAGAAGAGTGTAAAAAAGGAGGCTTGCAAACCCTGCTCTTCACTAGAAAAAAAAAAGGTGGACGTTTCTTATATAACATGGTAAAACCTTAGAATCATAAAATCATAGAACCATAGAGCTGGAAGAGACCTCAGAAGGTCATCAAGTCCAGCACCCTGCTCTAGGCAGGACCAATCCCAACTAAATCAACCCAGCCAGGGCTTTGTCAAGCAGAGACTTAAAAATCTCTAGGGATGGAAACACCACTACTTTCCTAAGTAACCCATTCCAGTGCTTCACCACTCCCTAGTGAAATAGTTTTTCCTAATATCCAACCTGGACCTCTCCCACCACAACTTGAGACCATTGTTCCTTGTTCTGCCATCCATCACTACCGAGAACAGCCTTTCTCCATCCTCTTTGGAACCTCCCTTAAGGAAGATGAAGGCTGCTATCAAATCCCCCCTCACACTTTGCTTCTGCAGACTAAAACAGACCCAACTTCCTCAGCCTCTCCTCATAGGTCATATGCTCCAGCCCCCTAATCATTTTGGTTGCCCTCCGCTGGACCCTCTCCAATGCGTCCACATCCTTTTTGTAATGTGGGGTCCAGAACTGGACACAATACTCCAGATGTGGCCTCACCAAAGCCAAATAAAGGGGAATAATCACATCTCTGGATTTGCTGGCAATTCTCCTCCTAATGCAACCTAATATGCCATTATTCTTCTTGGCCACAAGGGCACACTGTTGACTCACATCCAGCTTCTCATCCACTGTAAACCCCAGGTCCTTTTCTGCAGAACTACTACTTAGCTGGTTGGTCCCCAGCCTGTAACAATGCTTGGGATTCTTCCATCCCAAGTGCAGGACTCTGCACTTGTCCTTGTTGAACCTCATCAGATTTCTTGTGGCCCAATCCTCCAGTTTGTCTAAGTCACTCTGGACCTTAATTCTGCCCTCGAGTGTATCTACTTCTCCCCCCAGCTTAGTATCATCTGCAAACTTGCTGAGGGTGCAATCCATCCCCTCATTCAGGTCATTAATAAAGATATTGAACAA